AAAGAGTGTGCCCCAGTTCTCCTGGCCCTGCCTCGCTTATGCTCCCCAACTCCCAGACTTGCCCCTGCACACAGACACACAGGCCCTGGCCCACTGGTTCGGAGCCAACCCCACCGAGTCTGCGCTGCACTCCCTTGGACAGTGCCCTGCTTCTCGGTGCCTCCTGCTCCTTCGAGAACCACCGAAAGATGTCCCCTCCCTTTGGGAGGTACCACGGAGAGTACTCAGCCATACTCTGGGTCACAGGGGCAGCTCTGTCACCACCTCCAGTAACTTTGGGTCCAGAAGGGAAGACAGGTTCTGGGAACTGAGGACTGGGCTGAAGGGACGAGCCAGGCTCCACTGGTAGGCACCGGGGGCAGCCTATGACTGCCCGGGGTTGGGGGGAGAGCTTCCAGGGAGCAGGGAGCCCGAGCAGGCAGTGGGGGGGACCCAAGGTTCATGGGGGAAGATGAAGAAACGGCAGACTGGGGACCCCACACAGGGGACTTGGGTCCCCTGGTTCAGGTCCCAGCTTTTCACCCATCACCCGTGGACGGAGCAGTTTCCTCGTCTGTAAAATGGGTGTGTGAACACCCTTTCTCATAGGATTGTTGGGGTACCGGTGCCGGAGCCTGGGAGATGTTACTATATGTTGGGATACCGAGAGGAGCCTGGGAGATGCCATGGGCACGGACTGCACAGTCACAGAACCCAGGCTGCCATCCAGAACCCCTGGGGCTCAAGTCCCTGGCTTTGCTGCTAAGGGACGTGTGACAAAGGCCACCTCCCCACTCCAAAGGCTTCACTCTAAAATAGGAATAATTGGCAACTGCCAGAGCCCCTAAGGCTGCCAAAGACTACAAGAGGCACCTGAGGAAGTCCCCCCCCTCAGGGGGCACAAAGCAGAGAGGACCGGCGCCCGCCCAGTCAGATAGGTGCAGTTGCTAGTGCCCGCTTCACAGATGAGGACCAGGGCAGAGAGGTGACAGCCCTGCTAGTAAGCGGCGGAGCTGGGACTGAAAGTGGTGGCATCTCCGAGCCTCTCGTGGCTGTAGTCCGTGCTCTGACCTCTACAAAGGGCCGTCCTGACCCCAGGAACCAGGGCAGAGGGAGGTCCATGTGGCAGATCTCCACAATCTGAGAAGTGCCTGCCCAGATCAGCGGCTGTCACTACTCTGGGTTTCCGGCTAGGAACAAGTGGCAGGACCTTCTGATAAGCCCCCGGCCTCCGTCTGAGGGAGCTGCCGTGGAGACTGAGGAGCTTGTTACAGGGAGGGAAGCTAGAGCTTACAGCAGAGCCCAGCCCAGAGCCGTCGCTTCCAGCCCAGCAAGTCGGCGCCTGTGGCAGTCTGAGAGGTGGACGTGAACGCAGGCTAGGTTTCATTCCCACTCTGCTGCTTACTACGCGTGTGCTCCTAGACACGTATCTCTCTCTTTTTTTTTAATTCAGTTTATTTATTTACTTATTCCATACATGAGAAACAGAGACAGAGAAAGACAGCACCCCTAGTAGGATCTCTCTCTTTATTTATTTATTTTTTTTGGAGAGGTTTTTGCTATAGGGTGCGTGCGCTCGCCAGACAGAGAGAGACAGAGAGATAGAAAGCGAGAAATCACCCTCCAGGGGGGATGGTCATGCCATAGTCCCTTCTCCTCCGTTCTCCTCTCGGGATCTTGGGCACGCATGCACACGTGCCCGGCGTGAGTTTTGAGCCACTGGGTCCGGGACGCGAACCGTGGTCGACTACATGGGAGTCGAGCGACATAGTCATTACACTAAGTGCTGGTCCCCCCCTCAATAGGATCTCGATGCCACGATTACCCCCAGCTTCATCCAGGCTGATCATGGGCACGTGGGTGCCGTGTGTCCTCAGGGAGGTCTCCTGAGTTGAACTGGGAACCCTCTCATGTGGGGTTGCCTTGTGGAGCGTCACCTTTTCCCACAGCACCACACTCTGGCCCCTGGACAAGTCTTTCCGCCTCTGTGTGTGTCGGTTTCTGCATCTGTTAGGCGGAAATGCCTTTTATCGGACCCATCTCCGGAGAGTATCGTGAGGCCCGAGTTACCATGTGTGCATTCACAGCTGGTGCCACGTCGGTGTTTGCTGTGATTATTCTTGTTTTCATCCACCAGGTATTTCTTGGAGGCTGGGGAGGGGGCTTCAGGGAGTCCCCTCAGCTGGTCTCCTACCTTAGCAGCAGGGATAATAATACCTGCTCTGCGCTCTTCCCACCTTGTTATGAGGCTCCGAGGAGACAGCTAGTGGGGAAGCAACCCCTGACGGCAGAGTTTGGTGTGAACCGAAGGGAGTGGTGGTGTCACCGTTATTAGTAATAACTGTAATTATTATGGAAATCAGTCAGCAGGCCCCGGAGGCCTCCCATCTTATCTGCTCCCCTGTGCCCAGCATGCAAGTGGGGCTCTGGGCAGTTGCTGAGGCTGCCGACTGCAGAGCAAGCTGGGCGGGCAGGCAGAGGCCACTTGTGAAGTAAGCTGGGCTGGGCCATTCTCACCACCCACTCCACAGCATCCCCCATGGCCTGAGAGCTTCGAAGAGCCATGCGCAGGGGAGTGTGATCAGGAAGACCCGGGACAACCAGACATTCCTATGCTGACCCTCCCGGCTGGGGACAAGCGGAGCTTCATCCTCCTTCTCAGCCTCCATGTAGCTGGGTCCTTGAAGGCCACAGGCCCTAGCGGGACATGCTGGGGACCTTGTTAAGCCTGATTCCCTACAATTGATGAGCCTATTAATCCTAGCTTGGTGCCATTTTTAATAACATCATAACCATTTATTAGTGTCGTCAGTAATTAGTCTCCTCACTAGCTCACGGAGAGCGTGCTAAAGGCTTGGCGATATTATTACTTCCTTATTAGGATCTGAGCGTGGGCGTAAAAGTGATAAATGCCCACCTTTGTGGGCACCCATCCCCCGGGGCCCGTATGGAGGCCCTGGGTGGAGCCTCTGACCCGCAAACTGGCAAGTCCTTCCCTGACATGCTCTGCTGGCCTGTCCTGGGCCACGTGACCATCCAAGGGGCCAAGGTTAGGGAGGAAGATGGGGCATCCTGAGATGTGCCCCTCTTACCCACACGCTCACACGCCCCACCCAGGTCCCCCTGAGCCAGAGGAGCGATGACCCCCATCACCGTCTCACTCCGGACATCCCTCTCCATGCCGCCTGCTCACGCTCGTTCCCTGCCAGAAGCTTTCTGTTCTCATCTGCGCCTTAAATTACTGCCCCAGTTTTTGATGATTCTGGAATCCCAAGAAACGAGATCGTGTTCCGGGCCCAGGACCTTTTAGCGGGCAGTGGGAGACTTATTCAGCCTCTGTCCTCTATTGGCACATCTATGAGGTGGGGATCGTGGAGGAGCCTCTGCCCAGGGCTCGTGGGAAGGTTTAACGAGGCGCAGCACCAAGTGCTTAGCAGAGTGCCTGGGGCTCAGTCAGTACTCAGTGCATGGGGCCATCCCGCTTGTCACTGTCCCCTCCAGGGAAGCTACACCCCACCCTCCTGCCATCTAGCCTGTCCACACTTGAACATAATGGCAGTGGGAGAGAGAGCCCTCAGCCATGGTCCTCTTGCTGAGCCACAGTGTCCAGGACATAGGCCTTACCCGCTCTGGATCCAGCTAGGCAGCCTCTGGGGACTGACTCACACTGACCAGACTCACAGGGAACTGAGGCACACACCAACACACCACTCCCTTATTTTACTTTCCTGACACCGAGAGCCCCCACCTCCCATCCAGAGCTTCTGTGTCCTGGCGCCAGGTGATCAGGAGCCTGCTCAGGAAGTGGGGAGGCAGAGCCCCAAGAGCAGAGAGCCTAAAGCCAAGAGGAGAAATGCTGCTAGAAAGGGAAGCAAAAGCCAGGCTTCGCAGCATCTTGGGGCTAACCCCAGGGATTT